AAACTATTTTAACCAGACAACATTAACATATCCACATCAAGATTATTTACAGTTACTGTTCTCAATTCACTATTTCTAATTTGTCTCCAACTAAATTATTTATAAAATTATTTTCTAGAGCTGTAATGCAAAAAATAAAATTAAAACGCTTTGTAATGTTTTCTACAAAAAATAATTAAATTAATGTTCAAATATCCAATTTATATAAAGATTACAAATGGTATAAGTCATTTAACTTATTTAATTCCGTCAGCTCCCTGCCTTGAAATTTTTTATCTAAAACCCCTTAAACTGCCATGGACCCTCTATTTAGCCTATATCGATTTTTTTTATAAATTTGTATTTGTACTAAAGTTTAGTATTAAGCATTCAAAGTAAAGATACTAATCCAAGTCAAGACATTTATTAATTGACTTCATAATAATAATAAAATAGATATTAACACAGTTTATTGTGATCCACTATCGTGGATCTCCATAATTCTTTTTCGTTGACAAGAACCTCTTGAAAGTTGTCATGGTGCCTTGGGGGTCCATATAAACCACTTTGGGAATCACTGATCTAAAATGTGTTTTTAGTTGTAAATGATGGTGATTTATGATTTCTCCATCAAATTGAAAATGCAGGATTTAAACATTTGGTAATAATTTTTTTTTCATATTATTATTCTAATAGCACACCTTCATGAATTCTCCATAAAATTGAAAATACAAGATTTTAAAAATTTAGTAATGAAAATTTTCTTTTCGTATTATTATTCTAATATCAGCCTTTAAAAAAACTATGTTCATTAATAGAAGGTTTATCACAGATGCTCATTGAACTGTTGAGTTCTAATTGCTGTTCAATGATTGAGATCAACATTTATTATTTGATGCTGAATTATTTTTTTAAAATGAGAATATATAGTTTGAGATGAATATAAGACAAAAAATTATAATATTTTCTGGTTATCAGCTCCCTTATAATTAGCGGTAAGGAGATCTTAACTAATAATAATGCCCCGTACTTTATGGGCGAAGAAAAGGAGACTTATGTTTTAATTATTTATTATTTATGGTGATTGGAACACGTCTGAGCTGATTTTCAGTGCTGTACAGAACTTTATCAAAACAAAGTATCTTTGATAATGGATTCGACAGAAGAGCGCGAGCCTTCGAAGATTTTTATGGCCTTCGGGCTATTTCCAAAGTACGTGATTGATAGAACTGATCAAAAGCCAAAATGTTTCTCAATATAAGTAATAATTATAACTTGGCTTTATTTTTTTTAGCATTAAAATTTGTTCAAATTCATATTCAAATTCTCTTCTTAACTTCCTGTAGGGTAAGCTATAGTAATCGCAAAAAAATCGAAAATGGAAATTTTTATATATCTTTACGTTACAAAAGTTTCTGAATATTTTGGCATGTGTGTGTTTATATGTGTGTATGTGTGTGAGTGCGTGCGGATACAAATTTCTGTCGACGATTTCGGGAACACTGATCAACCGGTTTGAGTAATTCAAAAAACATTCGATTCATATTGATAAGGAGACATGCTGATTAGTTTTTGGCAAAAGCAGGTCTAGCCGTTCCAAAGCTACGAGGCAAAAAGTACCACAAACGGTAACTTAGTAATAATTCAAGAAACATTTTACGTGTATTGACAAGAACTGCTTAAATTTTTGGGAAGGCAGGTCTAGCAGTTTCAGAGATCTAGTGAAAAAAGTAAAAAAAAAGCCATTTGGAGGTCAAAAATGATCATTAGATATATGCACATAAATTATCGGATATTTTATGGAGATCTCAATAAGATGTATAAATTTTGTTTACTCTTCTATGGGTTCCGTATCGTCGTTTGTACGTTATTCGGCGACGCGGCGCTTTCGCGCTTTGAAATTTCGTCTATATACAGTGCGATTCCATTGAAAAACAAAAATAAAATTTCCAAAATAAAGAAAAAAAAATTCAAGTTTTTTTCCAAAAAAGTCATTTTTTTCAAAAATTTAAAATTTCTCAAAAATCTAATTTTTCAAAGTCTAAAAAAAGCCTAATCAGTTCGGTGTCTCAAAAACTCAATATCTATTTTCTGCACTCTTTGATCCGTATCTTCAAAACGGCTCAGTCAAAAACTAATCAGCATATATCCTAATCAATAGGAATGGAATGTTTTTCTTAACTTCCCTGTATCAATGATGATTTACTCCTACTAATTTCTTTATGAAGTTTTTTAATATACTGTTTTTGTTTCCTGTATCAGTAATGTATCTACTTTATATTAAGTTATAAAAATTTCATTATTGATTGGCAACAAATGTGCTAATGGATTCTCTCATCGCATCCTAAAAACATAAAACAGATTTATTTTTCAGATAATGTTAAATGTAGGCGTTTTAATCATTCTGTAACCTCACGCGTTTTACATATTTTTATTTTCTGCAAAACGATAAATCGGCAATGTGATCAAATCGTACCCCAAAGGCTTGTGTTTTCAGGGGTTAGTAACAATGTATTGTGGGTCACTAGCGGAGATGATACAGATTTAAATATATGTTTCTTGCTAAAATGTTTTTTTTATTTTTCAATATTTTTTAGATGTCGATCATTTTTGGAGCGTTACTCAAAATACATTGTTTTTTGAAAATAATTATGAGTTCTTACATAGCATATATTTTCAATTATTGTTTATTTATGATTTTCAGTTTATTAAAATTATTTAAGATTCAATTAGCAAAACGATTTTATTCGTATAGATAATTCTTATTCTTGAATTATTTATTTTACTTGTTTTTTTTTTTTAATATTATATTCTAAACGATTTCTAATTGTATTTTGTCATTTAATTCGACAAATTAAAACTATATATAAACATATACAAATTATTAAATGTGTTAAACTGTTAGTAAAGTTGATTTGTTTGCATAATCATTTGCATATAAATTATTCATCAGAAGAAAAAAATGAAAATTACAAAATGAATTCATGTTTAACACTTTTGTAGGCAATAAAATTTGCATTAATTTCCCTAATATTTAGCTTGAATTTTATAAAGAAATGCTTCACTGATAATAAAATATGCAGAAATTAAAAAAAAACTTTAAATAAAATATGCCGGATTTTTTGCAAAAATTTTTAAAAATTAATAAAATTTATTACATATGTAAATATGAAAAAAATTATATGTAAGGTGATAATTTAATTTTTGATTTTTTAGTTTTAATTTTATTTCGTAAATCAAAATACTTTTTGAAATTTTTGTATACCATTTATATATGTAGTTTATTTTCTTTAAGATTTAGTTTTTTTCAATTATGGAAGTAATAAATATTTTCCTTTATTTGATATTGCATAAAACCTTTATTTTTTTAAATTGTTTTCGTTTTTATTCACAAAAATACACAAGATATTTTTAATAACATTGCTTGTATAATATCAAAAATATTAAAGATATATTTCATACTTTGTACCTTCTGAGCTCAATTATATCACAAATGTATGATATAAATACGAAAGATATTTCATACCATCTCTGAATTAAATTTAACGTTCTTCATACAATGTTTTCATACAAATATATGTATATATAAATATGTTATAAAAATATTCAAACTTGCTTAATTCTTAATTATTGAAGTTTTAATATAACAAATAATAATAATTGCTTCTTGGAATTGAGAGAATTTAACTGATGACCATAATTTTGGAAAATATTTTTACTTCTTTATATACATTTTGATACATAAAATCAAATCACAAGTAAAATCAAAACACATTACAATATTGAAAAATTTAATTAACTATAAACACCTAAACATAATGGCAAATTAAAAATAAAATCTAACAAAAATACCAACCTAAATATTTTGATAAAACAATGATGCATATACATTTTGGATAGTTATGGATCAAGCATACGATGGCATATCTGCATAAGATAATATTTGTGGTTTCTATTTATTTAAAAATTTTCAAACCTAAAATGACTATCACTGGATAGC